GTGCAGGATGGATAGCTCAGTGCTCCATGAGAGTAGCATCAGTTTTTCTGGGCTCTGGAGAATTACAGGATTTCCTTGGCTCACTGCTCTCGTACTTCATACACAGGAAAAAAAAAACCACTTTTGTTACTGACTTCCATGTAGAAAGGTACCATTTCTCATAAGTGCCTCTGTCAGCAGAAGGTAGCTGGTGACACTTTCATGTAATCTGACAGAAAGGCCCTCATGCAGTTCATTCATTTATAACTCACAGACTGTCGATTTCTATTTTCCATACTGCAGCTGTGCTTTCATACACATAACAAAAATGTAAAGAAAAAAAATTGTGACAGCTTCTTTTCCATCAAAAAAAACAGTGCACATCAGAATTCTTCAGCGAATACATACATGTGAAAGCAAGAAAGCCTCCCCAGGCAAACACCTCTAATAAAAATGTACTAGCAGGCTCTCAATGTCCATAAGAAATGCTCTTGCCTGTTTAGCACCACTCATTTACATTTTATGCAGAATTTCAGCCTGGTTTTTATTGGGGCATTCCCCAGTTTCACATGCAGCCCGCTGCCTGTGCTCACAGCTGCGGGGCACAGCTTTTGTACAGCTGCATGTCACTGGCATCCAATGCTCCAGGTCAAAGACTGACTGAGCAGTGGGTGATTGAATTTGCTCTAAAATGGCAACTCTGGTCATGTAAGTGGTGTCTAAATATGCAGTTATAAACAAGTTGCTAAAGGATGCAATTCCTGTTGGTTAAGATTTTTGCGAAAGGGCAGTCGGTCAGAAGTGGCCAGTGAGACGCTCACAAGCCCACCTGGATGCATCAGGAGTTTTGCTTTATTTTCCTTGGTTGAGCCTGTGTATGTTTTTCCTTACAAAGCTATAAAAGTACATCAACATTAATTTAATAAATTTTGGTTATAAAGTGTACAAATGGCTGGCATGGTGCTATATAGTGCACTGTAAACTGCAATACTGATAGTTCAGATCTGAGTACCAAAACAAGGGATGGTTTTAAGTACATAAAGTAGGATGAGGGCAAGAGGCAGTCAAGCATCAACAAAACCAGTTAAGGAATAGTTCAGGGGACAGCTGGCTCTTCTCTAATATTCAGAATTTCTACAGAATCTGGTAGTACTGGTCTTGCCAAGTACTTTAGTTTACTAGACCCCAAAGAAGTACTGGAGTAGACCTCTCCAAAAAGCACAGCAAGCAACATCAGACAGAGTTGAAAATATAATTACCCTTCCTTAGTTTTCATCTGTCAGAATTCTTCTGTCAGGAGCTGACTAGCAATGGCAAAAGTTTATACTCTAGTTCTACCAATTCTATCTTGAGGACCCAGAAAAAACCTTAAACTTAGTGGTGCTCAGTGAGCTGAATTTCCATTTGTGAACATCAATTAACTCACTTCACAAGAAGTATGCTGTTGAAGAGAAAAAAACAAAGGACAATGGGGAAATAATACAGGTAGCATGCAACATTTAATTAGTCCTTCTGCACCATATGATTATCTATAACCCTCCTCTCTGGGTTGCTGAGGAGACAACTGCTGAGCCAGCTTCTGTCTTTCCACCTCCCTTCTGACTGCGGAATCCCAGGGCCCTGTCATCAACCCCACAGACACAAAATCCCCCTGTAAGCAGCAGTGGGCAGTGTGGGTGCTCTCCAAAGACTCCAGCTCCATTGCTGGCTGCTCAAGCTCACTGCTGCAGCATCTGCTCACTGTGCCAGCATCTCTTATTCCAGCACTCAGGAAGCACCCTTGTAAGAAGAAGAGCACACAATCCTCTTGCTTACAGGAAAATTTTTAAACAGACTTATCTGCTGCTTACAGAAGCTGAAACTGATTCTGTGTCTTTTTTTTTGTTTGTTTTTGTTTTTGTTTTTGTTTTCTTATTCGTGACTCTTGCATTCAAGGCTAAATGATTAGTTAGGGAAAGCATGGATAGGAAGAAAAATGAAAACAAATAGGAAGAAGACTCTCTCTCCACTTCTCCCAGATTAGTTCAAGGTCTGGGACCCAGGGGTCCTTGCTGTTCTCATTTTGAAGAGTGGGTTTAATCTTGAGACCTTCATCCTAGATAAATCCCTGAGCAATACAACTTTGTTTGTCCTTGAGCTAGTGGAGGAAGGTCTATTTCTCTGCTAGCACAGAAGAAAACCAAGCCCCAAAACTATTTTTCTTAAAAAAACCACCTAGATTTATGATTTGCTTTTTAAAGTTCAGTGACTTTTTATTTTTAAGATGATATTAGCAAACAGGAAAAAATGTGCAGGAGATAATTCCATAGTGGAGGCACATTCAGCAGTGGAAGCCCTTGGGTAAAAGAAAACAAAAGCCCAGCAAGAGCATTTATCGTTTCAAAAAGACTACAAAAGATAATGGGCCTGATTTAACCTAAAAAGGCATAGCTTTTAAATTATACTCTTGACACTTCCTGTGTCTTTAATGCTGGTGATCTTCCACAAGTCAAAATAAATATTTTAAAAATACTTTTATATCACTGTAACAAGCCTGTAATACACATGCAGAAAGAGGGGTGAGGGAAACTTATTTAAACCACCCATCTCTCTTGTGGGGGAAACGGGGAGGACAGCATCTCACCGCAGAAGCTGTGAAGACAGCTAGTCCTTGGCAGCACTGGGAACTGCCCTCCCGCTCAGGCATGCAGCATGGGGAGCAAACAGGAGCATGAAGGGTGGCTGCAGGTGCAGGGCTCAGGGACGTGCCCAGGGGTGGCTCATGTCGCTGCTGTGCTGCAGCTCAGGGATATGGGCTTTCAGGAACTGCAGGCTGGAAGGCAAGCAGAGGGAGCAGCAGAGAGCAGCAGGAATGCAAGGACTCTGCCTGGGGATGGAGGATGAGCTGGCTGAGAGCTTACAGGTTAGGATCAGTGGGCAGAGCAATAGGGGTGATCTGGTGGTGTGGGGTCTGCTATAGACCACCCGACCAGGAAGAAGAAGCTGAGGCCTTCTTCAAACAGCTGGAAAAATCCTCATATTCACAGGCCTTAGTCTTCATGGGGGACTTTACCCATGCTGGTACCTGCTGGAAGGGCAATACAACAGTGCTGAAGCAACCCACAAGCTTTGATGTGCATTGATGACATCTTCCACAACAAGTAATCAAGGAACTGGCACAGAAAAGCACTCAGGTGGACAAGATACTTGCAAACAAAGCAGATCTAGTCAGGGGCATGAAATCAGAGGCAGCACTGGCCACAGTGTCCATAAAGTGGTGGGGTTTGGGATTCTAGAAGAAGGGAGCAGGGCAAAAAATAAGATCACGGCCCTGGATTTAATACGAGCTGATTTACAACCTCTTCAAAAGTTTGGAAGAATCCCATGGAATGTGATCCTGGATAGAAGAGAGGTCAAGCAGAGCTGGCTGATGTTCAAGGGTCACCCCCTCCAAGCATTAGAAAGGTCGGTCCTGACAAATAGAAACCCAAGCAGGAGGTCTGGCTGGATGTTCTCAAAGCTTTTAACTGCATCAGAACATAAAAACAATGTGTGGAACAAAGGGATGGAAGCAGGGCCAGGTGACCCAAGTGGAGTTGTCTGATCATGCAGGAATGCTGTCAGGAAAGACAAAGACACAGCTCAGCTGGAGTTGAATCTGTCAAGGAATGTGACATGTGACAAAATGTTCCATAAGTATATAAATAACAAAAGAAAGAGGGGTGAATACAAAAACCCACTGCTAAATTGGACAGAGAAACTGGTGACGAATTAAATGGATAAGGCTGAGGCACTGAACACTTCCTTTTCTTGCTCTTTACCATGCAAACTAGGCAATCTAACAAGAAACCCAGGTTCCTGGGACCAGAGGGAATGTTTGCAGGATGATTTATTGTCAGTGGAGAAGGACCAAAGTAGAGAGCACTATTAAAAACAAGACATATATAAGGCCACAGGACAAATAGGATGGACCACAACCAGTGCTGAAGAAGCTGGTTGATGCCTTTGTGAGGCCACTGTCAGTTACCTTTGAACAGTCATGGCAAGTGGGAGAGGTTCCTGAAGACAGAAAGAGAGCAAGTATTACCCCTATCTTCACATAGGGCAAGAAGGAAGATCTAGAGGACTATAGGCTGCTAAACCTCACCTCAGTCCTTAGGAAGGTGATGAAGGAAATTCTCTGAGAAAGCATTTCCCAAGATCTGAAAGGCAAGAGAGTCATCAGGAGTGGTCAGCATGGATTTATGAAGGGGACATTATGCTTGACCAACCTGGTAGCCATCTCCAATAATGTGACTAGCTTATTGGTGAAGAGGAGAGACATGGGCTTTGTGCGCCTTGACCCGAGGAAAGGCTTTGATTACTGTCGCTTGTAATACCATCATAGAGAAGCTGACAAAGTATAGGATAGATGAGTAAAGACTGAGGCAGACAGAGAACTGAATGAAGAACCAGGTCCAGGGGGTTGTAATCGGTGCCACGAACTCCAGAGGTCACCATGGGAGACAACAGAGTTCAACACCTTCATTAAAGACCTGGATGATGGAACAGAATGTGCCTGTGGCATGTTTGCAGATGATAACAAACTGGGAGCACGAGCTGATCACCACATGGTTTTGCTGACACGGAAATGGGCAGAGAGGAAACTCGTGAAGTTCAACAAGGGGAAATGCCAAGTCCTGCATTTGGGGAGCAATGATGGCAGGCTGGGGGATGGTAGGGAACAGAAACAGAAATCTGATTTGTTTGTCTCTTGTTACACAGGACCTCCGGGGCCTGATAATGAGGGAAGGGATATGAACACATGACTTGCTTGGTCACAGAAAGTCATGGCTGCTTGTCTCATAAAATGGAGTTAATTAAGCTAACTACATTATCAGGGGCTGGGAGCAGAGCTCAAGCAGGACCCACGGACCAGATGGTCCTGCTCGACTTCCAGCAGTGCCTTCCAATCTCAACCCCTCTGTCATTCTCTGCAGTCAAACTATGAGTTATCCCTCTTATATCTGTGCTGGTTCTAACATTGCTACTCCTCCTTTCAGCTTTGTTTCCTAGGGCCTTTAGCTGTTGCATGAAAATTTCAGATGAAATTTCCAAAGGAATTCTCAGAAGAGTGGAGAGATTTGAAATCCAGAAAGCTGGTGGCCTGTGTCACCTAGAGGCTGTTATGTAAGAGAAATTTTGTGACCTTCACTGTGAAAGAGCTACTGCAAATTAAAACCTATCATGAAGCATTTAAATAAGTAGAATCTTGGAAAGCTAACACAAAATAAAAAAACAATGTTTTATGTGATTTAAGAACTGTCCTTCCTTGTGCTATTTAAACTTGATTGTTAAAATTTAATTATTTTTTCAGTAATAATACTGAATATTATTCAGCCTTCATTGACACTTGCTTTATTTTCAGAACTGAAAAATTACTCATGAACCTTAAGACTTCTCCGCTTTTTCCAATTATTTATCCCATAAAACCCTTGCCTAAACTCATTAAATCAGCTTTATTTTCATACATAAACTATATTTTTTTTTCTGGTACAATATCACACCATTTGGATTAAATTGGTACATTTTCTAGACTTTTGCATGATAGTCATCACAGTCATAATAACTATATAGTAGTCTGCTTATTTATTGGCCATAGAAATGTACTGCTTTGCACTGTGGTTCTTTTTGCACTGAAGCAGTAAAGCCTTTTTCAAGATTTTGGAATGTAAGTTTAATAATGTGAAACTTAGATCCTAATGTATTTGAAACCAGAAAAAAAATTAATAAATACAGCATGAAATATAATTTAAGATTAACCAAGTCTAACTTTGTGGTCTTCATAGGTGAGTGATGATGATGATTTTTAAAAGCTGGGATTTTTACTTTTTTTCTTTGAAACTGACAACTATTTTTTTAAATGTTAGTCTCCACATGAAGGGCAGAAAGTTCTGTGTGAATCCATGGAATAGAAAAGTCGAAAAAATGATGAAGAAGATGAAGCACAAGATTCACAGGAGCAAGTCTCATGTTAGAAAGCAGAGAAGAGTCCGAAGAACCAAACAGAAAGAACAGAAGCAGTAGCAAGATGAAGGAAAATGAAGCAAAATGACCCATGTTGAAGATTCTGTGGCATATGGCATTGCGGGCAAGGATACCAGATTTCACCAGTGATGGATGATTGTAGCATTAAAATGACTTTCCAAAGCTGCAAGCAGAGGCAGAAAACTCAGAACAATGCTGATCAGACTATCAGACAAATGACAAGGTGTTCCTGGAAATGTCTTGTAGCAAGTGCTCGCTGTACCTCCTGGTTCTTTTGGCAGACTCAAATCTTCCTCTCTCTGTCACCCTGCTTTTACAGCAACCTCCCCTGTGACTTGCGTTTTAACATGCTGTTCCTTCTCAGTCCTCCATTTTCCCCCAGTCCTATACTTGGTCCCTATTCTTTCCTGTCTGCAATAATCTTTCTGCTGTTGCCTGTTTTGTTTATATTCTTCCAGTCATTAATCTTTCTTTTTTTTTTTTTTTTTTATTTTACATAGGTTAACAAAGACTTTTTCAGATCCTTCCAGCTTGTTTGCCAAAACCATGTCTTTTACCTCTTCCAAACAATCTCTGCTCTCAGCTGTTACTATCGATAATATCTGATCCTCTTCACAGTGGAGGCAAAGTGTGGCATTCAGAGCTATGCAATAAAGATAATCTCTGTTGCTTTTTTTCATTCAGTTTTGTTCATTCAAGTACTCAGATCCTTCAGATGGGTCTTTCCTACTCTCTTTGCTGAATTGCTCATAATTGAGACTGAGGATTATGTCTGTCCCTCAAGGCCTTTTTTCAAAGACCAGCAATGATGACAGTCTGGCTGCCCACACCATAGCTTCTCTTCCACTTACAGTACTGCCTTCTCCTGTGTGGCACAGTCTGGATTCCCTCCCTCCTTCCTTGGAAACTTCAAAGTAATTTAGTATTTCCACAAAGACATCTCTTCAACAGCACTTCTCCTCACAGACATATACAGAAAGCAGCAAAGGGAGGGAGAAGAGAGGTGTTTAAGAGTCAGTGCCATAGAGTGCACACATCTCATGAGCCAAAAATACTTAATATAGCACACAACTCTGCTCTTTCTCATCTTCCCCTAGCAATTACTGGTTTTTTTCAATCACTGCATTTGAGCTAAATGAGCTCCTCTGAGTTGCCTCTAGTGTTTGCTTTGAAATTTTTATGCAAAACTACATCCTGCAAGCATGGGAGAAAGCAAGGCTGATGATAGGGGATAGAAGCAGCTGCTGGTAGGTTCCCTAAATGGGAAGATGAACAACTGCAGCAAGGTCACTAGAGATAAACAGCACACTCCTACAGATGCAGATCTGGTGAAAGAAACCTGACTCCGTTCAAAACAGATAAGAGAAACAATTACTACTCTAACGAGCCAACTGCCTTCTGATAGGGATGAGGCAACTGATATAACTCCTCTTCCAGAATCTAGGGAATATTTTGTACAGCATGTATACTAGCACCGCTCCATCCTCTGCCTGCTGGAATAGTGTGCAGGAAGCCTGCTGCTGGGAGCAGGAGCTGGGGCTGCCCTCTCTGACTCCCAGCCTGCACAGCTCTTCCTCCCCAAGCTGTGCTTGGCGCACTGCTGAGGCAGAGCTTGTGACCCTGGCTAATGCAAGCTGAAATGGCACACGCTTTCCACCATTCCATTTGCACTGCCTGGACACCACACGGCTAATTAGCTAATGGGTATCACACAGAATCCAAACCCCCTGGGCCCAGTCAGCAGAGCACCAGGAATGCAAAACTGCTGAAGCACTTTACAATATGGCAGCATCATATTACTCTTTCTGGAAGTTCCATTTTCTTCCTCATGTTCTGCTCTGCCTTTCATATTTTGAACCTTCCTGCTTTCCTCAGATTTCTAGGTGGTTTTATGATGGCATCTCAGCTCCTCAGAGCTGTGCCATCAATGCAAACAGTGACCTTTAGAGAGTACAAATTACTAAAGCATGGACTGTACCCTAATTTCCATGGCTGAGTATGGGAGAGAGCATTTCACAGGGTAACAGTATGGAACAAAGGGAAGGGAAGGGAAGGGAAGGGAAGGGAAGGGAAGGGAAGGGGTTCATGCTGGTTTAGGTACAATCTTGGCTTGCAGACCTGTTCTCTGACAGCTGCAGGATCACAGCACAGCAGCAGTTATCTCTTCCATTTGGAAAGCAGTACAGATACTAGTAACTAGTTTTTGTACTGTCAGCCTTTCTGGCCTCCAAATCTTTGATTCTTATCAATTTAGCAATTCCTTCTTTGTATTGAAATTAAAGACACAATCAAATCTGCAACACAAATGTTATTTAAATATTTGCATTTACTGGACCTACTTTAAAGACAGGCTTTGATATTTTTGTTTACATCTTCCAGTTCTTCAGTGTGATGTCTCCTATCAGGTTCTCCTGGAATCAGTAGGTCAAATTGAGAAATTATGAGATTGCAAAGTCCACTCCCTGATTCCAGCTGTATTTCAAGTTTTGGTTCCTGTGCATTCTTTTGGGAATTGAATTAGAAATAACTTCTACGTGTCATTCAATCTAATAAAAACTTTATTTCCTGGTATTGGTATATGAAGTACCAAAACAACACTTGAAAGATCCACTGCCTCATACAGTTTCATTTATTTATCCCTGAACGCTGACACACAAATATGTAGAAGAAAAATCTCCCAGTTTCCAAATCTTCACTTGAGTGACCTCATATTCTCTGTACCTGAGCATTATTTTTGACCTTTGCTATTTTGTACTTGGCAACAAAATAAAATCAATGCCTTTTTTGTTAAAGTCATCTCAACATCTTTTTTTGTGGAAGAGATTATTAGGGCACATTACTTTGTTTCCCCTAAAAATGCTGAATAAAGCTCTCTTTTCAATAGGTTTAGGTGCCTAAAAGATGTAGTTGGATGCATTTGAAAACACCAGTGAGTATTTTACTGGCTTAGAAGTGTAATTTCCATTTAATTAAGTCCATATTAGACTTGTAATTAATATTCTTGAGAATTGCAATAAAGTCACTCTTAACCAATTTTAAGGAACAACTTAGCAGATTATTATCATCCACCTTTTTCTTTTATTTTAAGAGTTATTGACTTACTGTAACAGCCTCTAAGTCTTTAGGATGCTTTAAAGAAATCACAGATAGCATCGCTTAAGAAGTGCTAAACAAAAGAACCTGTTGGGTCTATTAAAGCAAAACCACCACCCTGGATTTGATACTCTTGCTTAAAACTAGAAGTCAGACTAGAGCAACATTGCAAACATTTTTCTTTCAAAACAGTACTGGGGTAGGAGTTACCACACACTTTTACACAGTTGAAAAATGTTGACAGAGGCTCAAACTCAGACTCCTCTTTTACCAAAACAGCCTGGATTTTAACAGAGGGAGAGGATACGTTTGCCATCTGACTGGCACTCTTGAGGATGTTTCTGAGACAATGTTATTCTGAGTTATGCTGAGTTTCTTTGGTAGTACCACTTTTATTAAAACAATCTGTCCTTAATCCAAACAAATAAACACAATTTGCAAATACAATTTTTGATGGAGTATCTCTCTGGGCAGATTGGTTATGCTCTACAGCCATGAAAGGGAAATGCCCTGCATTCTCACTAGCTGGGCTGGAAATAGTGCAATCGCACGTGTGGAGCATAATTTGGTTAGAAAACTATAATTAACTGAGAGGTTTGGAATAACATTCACCAACAAGCTTAATGATATTAATGCAATCCTTACAAGAAATTAATGTAAAACAATTGTAGACTATTGCAACAGCAGCATAGCCAGATCCTTTCTTGCGAAGAAATGATTGTAATTTTCCATAAGTCTTTCCTTGTAATACAGTCTTAAGCAGGAAAAGCAAATAGTGTCATAAAGCTGAATAAAAATAATAACACTATTGACAAAAATTATACAATAAATTGCACTGATTAATAAGAAAAAGTATGTTATAGATCTTAGGCTATAAAGGATTAGTAATCAAACCAGTCTGCAAGAGGAGGACATCTGGACTTGATATAAATTTAAGTTAGCATGTGGATCTATACACATCCTGAGGAGACAAAACCAATGCTTTTAGCAGTGTAAAAGCCAGGTAAATCTCTAAATAGAGAGATACATAGACTATGGGAAAGAAAGCAATAACATGGATCACTTTCCCAGGCTAATCTTAATTTTGGCAGGGTTTCTTTATGACATCTGTAGAAGATCTGCATTTTTAAGATCTGCATTTAGTGCTGACTATACATGGACCAAAAAAAATTGCACCGCCCAATTCTGACATAACCATTTTGAAAGCAAGTAAGACATTTACCAGAAGGAAGCCCCCCACCTGAGTGCAGGCTCCCAGGTGAGCAGGTTTGAATTGCCAGGAGCAGCAAGAGCTGTGACAAGGCAGCAAGCAGGCCAGCGACCTCACCAAGGGCACGCTCTCACAGTGCCCAAACAAACAGGTACAGCCCGTGATGGCAAAACAGGGTCAAACAAGAGTCCAGGTTTTCAGACAAGTCTGTAGAGATGAGTAGGTCAGAGGTGAAGCTGGGGAGTCAAGTCACTGGGTCAGGATCAGGCGGGCTGTACCAAGCATGGGCACAGTCATGGTGCCCCTCTGGCAATGGCTCGAGTTTGAATACAGCTCCCAGCTGAAAGGCAGGAGGTGGCCAAGGAGGCTCCTCACAGCTCCATCGCACTGCTCTCTCCAGGGCAGCCCCAGCCCAGGCTACCTGAGACATGGGAACCAGTGCTGGCCTGGTGCACGGGCAGCTGAGTCCCCAGGCAGCAGGGAAGTGGAGTGGTCCATCTGTTCCCCAGCATCTCTTCCATAAAGCCAGGGCAATCCAGGCATCCCTGTGGCAGGAAACATTTTGTCACCAAGTGCATATTGAAGGCTGGAATTAGGAGCCCGTTTTGATGTCTAGAACAAGGACACAGCTCTGGTTCTGGTTTTTTAGTATTGTGTCATTTTGAGGTTTTTTTTTTTTGGTTTTTTTTTGTTTTTTTGTTGGTTGGTTGATCTGTAGTGGTTTGTTTTGTTTTGT